GAACCGTTATCGGAGCAGAAGCCTCATCAACTACGATATTTTTTCTTGTTGTGTAAACTCGTCGACTACAAAGTGCCAGCAGGCGTTGTGAACACGTTATGCAAATTGTATAGTAATCGTATTGGGTTCTGGATGTTCGACGTCGAGTGTGACCCGGCGACTGCTGTTTCGTATGAAAGAGCCCTCAGATCGTGCTGCGGTAATAAAATCTCCAAATAATTTATGACGGCTATTAGTGGACGTTAACTTTCCTAAATTGCCGGCGACGCAATTGAAAAGAATCACAAATGGTGCGCCGAGATGTTTTGTGCAGATGCAGGCGTTGGCTCGGGTGGGTGTGGCCGTAAAAGTGGGGCTGCATTTTGAATCAGCTTGGCTGGACCGGTGACCGGCTTTTTTTTTCAAATATAAATTTACGGTGTGGTCTCGACACGACAGTGCTCCGCTTCATATAATAACAACAATTATTAATTTACTTCGTGAAAAGGCATGACAAAGAAGAGAAAAAATTGATTGAAGGTTACTGCGACAGGACTTTCTCAGTCTTTGTCGAACAAATCCCGCTTCTAAAAAAATAATAAAAAAATTTATTTTGCGAACTTTTATTGATAACCTCTATACACTGAAAAAAATAAAAACACTACCAGAATTTAGAATAAATTTATTGCACAACTAAAATAGCGTACAAAAAGTTATAATGCAGGTTATTAACCCTGATGGAAAGACTTGATTTTCTGAACATGAGTTTTTTCTAAAATACCTTTTATGAAATTAAAGCTGTTCATTCAGCGTAAGTTCTTTTAAAAAAACATATACATATGTGGTGAAATATGTTCTATTTTATAGTTGTCTGGGTTTCTAATTTTTTGGTTTTTCATTTGTCCAGTTTTTAACCAATCAGTGATTCGACGTTTGATTTTTCGATTATCAGATTTTCCGTTTTCTCGATTTTTCAATTTTTCGTTTTTTCATTGTTTAGTTATCCAATTTTTCGATTTTATAATTTTTTTTCTCAATTTTCAATTTTATAATTCTTCGGGTTTAATATTTTTCGTTCTTCCACTTTTTAATTATCCGAATTTCATTGTTTCGATTTTCCAATTTTTTTATTTTTTTTTAATTTTCCAGAAAAATAAAATTGAAAACTTGAAAAAACTTGAGAAACTGAATATCGAAATTTCGAACAATTAAAAATTAAAAAACTGGAAAATCGAAGCAAAGAAATTCGATAGATAATTGAAAAAACAATTGTATAAACGAAAAAACGAAAAATTTTAAGAACGAAGATCTATAAAATTGAAAGTTTGATTCATTGAAAACGGAACAATAACTGAGAAATCGAAAGGTTATAAAAATATAAATTTGAAATTCAAAAAATTGAAAAATTGTTTTGTAAAATTACAACATTAAATCAAAAACTAAATCAAAAATGAAAATTTTCAAAATTATAAAATTGAAAAATCTGATAACTGCAAAAACAGAAATTGAAAATTCTAAAAAAATTTAAATCGAAAAAATTCTAAAATTTTTAATAATAATCGAAAAACCGACATGTCAAAAAATCGAGATATAAAAAATCGTCAAATCGAAAAACTGAAAAACTAAAAATTTAAAAATTCCAAAATTGAAAGAATAATTTTGAAATCCAGAGTTGATAAATTCGAGAATTTCTCGGTTTCTCAATTTTTTCATATTTTAACTTTCTAATTTTGAGAATTTTAAATTTTTCAATTTCTATATTTTTTGTTTTTTCAGTTCTTCGGTATTTCTATAGGTATGTTTGATTTTCGAATTTTTAAATTTAAGATTTTTCAACTTCCAGGTTGTAGATTTTTCGGTTTTTACTTCCCGAGCGTAAGCAAAGGAAGTATTGTAATCGAGTCCGTCGGCCGACTCTCTACTTTTACGTTTTCTCGATCTTTCATGACCCCTAGAAGACGAAGAAATAGGTCTCCCATTTCCGTCTGTCTGTCCGTCTGTCCGTCCGTCTGTCCGTCTGTCCGTCCGTCTGTCCGTCTGTCCGTCTGTCCGTCTGTCTGTCCGTCTGTCCGTCTGTCCGTCTGTTGTCACGGATTTTTATTAGACAGATAATCTCCGAAAGTACTCGACCGATTGTTGTGAAATTTTGTACTTATATTAAGAATATCATGTAGATGGTAAAACGCTAACCAAAATTTGTCGAATCATCCCCACCACTAAAGCGATGACGTCACTTCAAAATTGTACATAGTAAATGGGTTTTCAATTGTATAAAATAACATAGTCCTACACATGTAGTTTACAACTCTGAATCGACTTTTCACCCGAAACGTCCAGATTTTTGGAAAAAAAATCAAAATTATAAAACAACATTTTGAAATTTAATTTTTAATCTGCTAACCAGAATGCTTTGAAATGTTGCAGATGTTTTAAGGCTATAAAGAGCATCATAAATCTTTAGTCAAAAAATATTTGCTTATCCCCTCCAAAAACTTGATGACGTCAGCTCAAAAGTTTGTGGAATAAATCATATCTAAAATGTACAAAATATGATGAGTCTGTACTTGTGAACCATCACTCCATTAATATTTTTTGGATTTGCATATACAGGGTGACTCAAAAAAATTAATGAATGCGTAAATATATTTTATTGATTTAATCAGGAACTACAAAACCGAATGCTCTGAAATCTTGCAGATGTTTTAAGGTCATAAAGAGCATAATAAATGTTTAGTCAAAATATATTTGCTTATCCCCTCCAAAAACTTGATGACGTCAGCTCGAAAGTTTGCCGAATAAATCATATCTAAAATGTACAAAATATGATGAGCCTGTACTTGTCATTTATCACTCCATTCATATTTTTTGGATTTGCATATACAGAGTGACTCAAAAAAATTAATGAATGCGTAAATTTATTTTATTGATTTAATCAGGAACTACAAAACCGAATGCTTTGAAATCTTGCAGATGTTTTAAGGTTATAAAGAGCATAATAAATTTTTAGTCAAAATATATTTGGTTATCTTCTACAAAAAACTGATGACGTCAGCTCAAAAGTTTTCCGAATAAATCGTATCTAAAATGTACAAAATATGATGAGTCTGTACTTGTGATTTATCATTCCATTCATATTTTTGGATTTGCATATGCAGGGTGACTCAAAAAAATTAATGAAGGCGTGAATTTATTTTATCAGGAATTACAAAACCGAATGCTTTGAAATCTTGGGAATATTTTAAAGTTATTATAAGCATGGTAAACTTTTGTTCAAAATGTATTTGTTCATCCCTCCTAAAAAAATTGATGACGTCACCCTTAAATTTTGCTGAATAAATCCTATCTAAAATGCTAAAAATATGATGAGTTTGTACTTGTGATTTATCATTCCATTCATATTTTTTAGATTTTCTTAAGAGGTGGTTCAAAAAAATTAATGAAGTCAATTTATTTTATTGATTAAATTAAAGGCAACACTTATTATTAGTATTACACCCCAACCAACCCAATTTGGTAGACACAAAATTTGTTAAAGGAAAAACTCGGTTGAAACATAAGGGTAGCACGCTTATTTACATCGACTTTAACATTACAGACCTGCATTTGTTTTATGCGTTCACTTGATTCCGCGAATGTGAAATAGACATGTTTATAATCAACCAATTGTGAATTTCACCGTCAAGAATTAAAATAAAACCCAATGTTTTATATAATAAGCGGAAGTCGAAGCAATAAAACCGACGGTCGTTTTGTTTACAGTTTCTCTGTTTGGCTCTCATGTATGCTGTTACGCCTGTCATCTTAAATTAAGAATGTTTATACATACACGATTTTCAGTTGCCTCTGATACGTAGGTATACGTGAGTAAATTGTTTCGTTATTTTATTGATTATTACAAATCAATATTCAAACGACCCAATTCATTTTCCCGAAAATTTGAGAATATAATAATTTTATTCTTAGTATTACACTACATCTATCCCAACTGATATACGTGTCCTTGCAAAAATGTTGATGACGTCATCGCAATTTTTTTTTAAATTCCCACTACAAAAATGTAATGAGAAAAAAAACACAATAGGCATGCAGTCGTCAAGTTTCCGACAGCGAGGGAAGTACTGTCTAAACTCTTTAGACCAATTTTTTAATTTTTCGATATTTCGATGTATCGATTTTTTTCAGTTTTAAACTTCTTGATTTTTCGACTTTCCGATGTTTCAATTTTTCTGTGTTTCAGTTTTTCAATTGAAGAATCGATAACTTGAAAAATCCCAAAAGAGGAACTCGAAAAATTGAAAAAAATTCAAATATCAAACAATTGAAAAATGAAAAGTCGAACATTGAAAAATTGGTCTAAAGTTATTTATTATACAGAACTTCCCTCGCCTCAGGAGAACAATACAATAAAAACAGGTTTTTTTACACATACGACAGACAGGCGGAAACGGGAAACCATTTTTTTTCCTAGTCTAGAAAACATGGACTCGATTTTTTTTTAATTAAATATTCCCATATTATGTTAATAAAAATTGTAAACTTTGGGATTCTCCAATCTAAATCCAAGTTTAGAATAATATTTAACTTGAAAATAAACTGGAATCTATAATTCTCCAACTTTAAAACCCTATAAAGATTAAAATCATTCGAGTCCCTTCCTTTTCGCCCCAGAAAAATTCACACCTTTTCTTTATCTAGCAACTCCTCAGCTTCCCATTCGCGATTACTCCCAACTCATCCATCTTCCACCTAAACCCACCCCTCCCGCAATAAACACCCCTCGCAGCCCCACATGAACTTCAGATACCACATCCATAATCCCCGCCATAAATCACCCCAATCGCGTAATTTAGATTTGAGAAACGACCTACACCACACGTAAATAATAAAGCTACGTAATCAAGGAATGCTTAATTTTAGGCCAGATTTATTTCCCACCGCACTACAACAGGTACGGTGGAATACCTGTGTAGAACTCAATCCTATGCCGATGTCTCCCTTTAAACAGTAATTGTTGCTTTCAGAACGTGGACCACAAAATGAAATACCGCTCAAAAAAAGGCCAACTGCCCTTCGTCGAGATCAACGGTGAAGAGATCGCCGACAGCACCATCATAATCAAAGACCTCTCGCAGAAGTTCGGCCACGACCTGGACGCCGCCCTCAGCACCGAACAAAGGAACATCGCCCACGCGACCATCTCCATGGTGGAGAACCACCTGGCGTGGATCGTGATGTGGTGGCGCACGAAGTACCCCGACCAGGTGCTCAAGGGGTACAAAGTGAACCTGCAGCACGCACTAGGAACGAGGATACCCAACGGCATCCTCAACTTCTTTTTCAAATTCGCGTTCGGCAGGAAGGTTGGTCTCCCTCGACTTTTATCTCTATTCTGGTCGTTTGTTTGGAACGGTAGCTTTGGGGCGGAACGCTATGTTAATTTTGAGGCAGGTTGCGGGAAAACTCTCCATGCTTGCGTCTGTTTGTTCTTGGAATTCGGTAACTGGGGAACTAATCGTTGCTAATCCACGATCTCCTCAAATATTGACCGGCGGCCCGCCGAAAAGTAAATGAATTGGTGCACCCTCTTCTCTTGCACGAAAAACGTACGAAGTGACCCGAGGAAGGAATTCAAAGCTCCTAAATAATTTAAATTTTGAAGGTCCAACATTTACACGTAAGATAAGTGAAGTGATTAATTATTTCGGCGCACGTAACGAAATGAATTGCGTACGACGGCTAAATTTAGGATTTGTGTGATCAAACTAACTAAAAAGAACAATTACGTAGATTTTCACTATCACGCCAACCGTGGCCCAATTAAGAAAAAAGATTTATCGTTGCTTTTATTTTTACTTGTTCTCGGATTTTTAACGAGCTTTTTAAGAAAGTACGGTGTTGTAAATCGGGTTTTCGCTCACGCAGATGCACAATGTTGTTGGGATTGTTTTCTGGGTAATTAAGAAGCGGGTTCGAATGCTTTTTTTTATCTCTAGAGAGTGTTTTCGGTTGTTGTACATACAAGTGTTTTTATTGTTAGCGAAGTTTACAACTTCACGGTTTTTTGCATACGACGTAGGTGACATTGAATTATAAATTTTGTGTCGCACGCGTTATGCGGGAACGAAGGCGATTTTTCCGGTTAATTTCACATCAAAGGGGGTACGAAGGCGTGAAAATGCAACCCACAAAACATAGAACAAAATTTCAGGCGATAACTCGAAAAACTCTCTCTGTTAATTCGTACAGGGTTTGGAAATCTATATATTTTTTTTTCAATATTTTTCGAAAACATTTCATCAACTGCGACAATACACAGAAAATTAAAAAACTGAAGCTTCAAATGGGAGTTTGAATCCCCGAAAACACCAAACATTTTGAACATACAAAATTACGGGTGTGCGATGATTTGTTGGTTGCCTATAACACTGCCAGGACAAAATTTTCAGTTAATTCGTTTCTGATTCGTTTATTTGCTACGAGATTAGAAAAACGACGTAAATGCATACAAAAATAAAAAACATTCAATAGATTTTCTGCAAAAATAAAAGAAAGTTTTTGTCAACACATTGGACGGAACGTACTGGACATTTGCTCATACATGATAATGACTTGATTGAAACAATTATCCGTTGAAATGAAAAATTGGTCGAAGTTTGTTTCAACAAATCCCGCAAAACCAGTGGCGTAAATAATAAAATAAAATATCGATAAATGGAGAAATTGAGAAATTAAAAAAATTTAAAATCGAAAAATTGAAAAGTCGAAAAATCGAAATATCGAGCAATCGAAACATCAGAAACTGGAAAAATAAAAAAATTAAAAATTTGAAAAATTAAAATACATATATTGAAAAATTGAAAAATTCGCAAAATTGAGAAATCGAAAATTTAAAAAATCGAGAAGTCTAAAAATCTAAAAATTAAAAAAATATTTAAATCGGAAACCTGAAATGTCAACAAAAATCGAGAATTTAAAAATCGTAAAATTGAAACATCAAAAAACTGAAAATCCAAAAATTTGAAAATTCCAAAAAGTCGAAAAACCGAGGAATTGAAAAATTCCAAAACGGCAATGACGAAAAATTGAAAAATCGGAACATCGAAAAATGAGGAAATCGAAAAGCCGAAGAGTCGAAACATCGAAAAACGGACAGTTTCTCGGTTTCTCGATTTTTCCATATTTTAATTTTCTATTTTAAGAATTTTAAATATTTAGACTTCTCAATTTTTTGATTTTCTAGTTCTTCGATACTTCTATTTGATTTTTGAATTTTTAATTTTAAGAGTTTTTAACTTCTCGGTTTTAGATTTTTAGATTTTTTAAATTTACGTTCAAAATTTTTGATTTTTCGATTTCTCAGTTTTTTGATTTTTCCATTTATCGAGATTTCGATTTTGAATTATTTAGATTTCTCAGTTTTTCGATTTCTTCATCTTTTGATATTTCAATTCTTCAATGTTTCAATTTTTTAATTGAACAATCTAACTTGAAAAATCCCAAAACAGGAACATTGAAAAACTGAGCAGTCGAGAATTCGAAAAATTGTTGTATATCTACGATGTTGATTTTTCTATTTTGGAGAAATAGAAAAGTTGAAAAATCAAAAAATTGATTAATTGAGAAAATAAATTTAAAAACGTAAAAATTCCAAAATTGAAAAATCAAAGAGTTCAAAATCGAACAATCCCAAAATGGCGACACTGAAATATCTATAAATTGAAAATTAAGTAATTGAATAATCGAAAAATTGAAGATTAAAAAACTGAAATATCGGAAAACTGAGAAGTCGAAAGTTGAAAAATCGAAAAACGGAGAATTTTTCCAAATTATTAATTATCAGTTTTGAAAATTCTAGATTTTTAGATTTCTCAATTTTTTTTTTTCACTTCTACGCTATTTCTATTTGATTTTCGAATTTTTAAAGTTAAGATTTTTCAACTTCTCACTTTGAGATCTCTCGGTTTTTTAATTTTTCGTTTAAAATTTTGGATTTTTCGATTTCTCAGTTTTTGATTTTTCAATTTTTCCATTTCTCCATTTATCGAAATTTCAGTATTTCCAACTTTTTTGATATTTCAAATTTGGACTGTTTCGATTTTTGAATTGTTCGATTTTTGGACTTTGTAACTTGTCGATTTCTCGAACTTTCGATGTTTCAATTTCTCAATGTTTGAGTTCTTCAATGGAAGAATCCATAACTTGAAAAATCCCAAAACAGGAACATCGAAAAATTGAAAAATCGAAAATTTGAAGAATCGAACAATTGCAAAATTCCAACACTGAAATATTTATAAATTGAAAATTGAGTAATTGAAAAATCGAAAAACGGAGAATTTTTGGGTTCCTCAATTTTTCCATATTTTAATTTTTCAGTTTTGAAAATTTTAGGTTTTTAGATTTCTCGATTTTTTGATTTTTCAGTTCTTCGATATTTCCATTTGATTTTCGAATGTTTAAACTTAAGCTTTTTCAATTTCTCGGTTTTTTAATTTTTCGTTTAAAACGTATGATTTTTCGATTTTTTGATTTATCAGTTTTTCAATTTTTCTATTTCTCCATTTATCGAGATTTCAGTATTTCGAACTTTTTCAATATCTCGATATGTCGTTTTCTTTTTCAGTTTTAAACTTTTCGATTTCTCTAAACTTTTGAGGTCCCAATTTCTCAATGTTTTAATTTTTCAATTGAAGAATCCGTAAACTGAAGAACTAAAAAACTGAAAAATCGGGAAATCGAAACATTGAAAAGTCGAGAAATCGAGAAATGGGAAAATAAAAAAATCGAAAAGTCGTAACGTCGAAAAATCAAAAAAGTCGATTTATTGAGAACTTTAGAAACGTAAAAATTCCAAAATTGAAAAATCGAAAATTTGAACAATTGCACAATGCCAACACTAAAATATTGAAAAAATGAGAAATCGAAAGTTGAAAAATCAAAAAATCCAACATTCGAAACATTAAAAATTTTTTCCCAAAAACCACGATGTCTTGGATGGATAAAAAATCAACACGGATTCACAAACTACAAATTCAGAGCTATGTTTCTTTTTAACATTTAAATAACGTTTATTCCACAAAATTGTAAGATGGCATCGTCAGTGCCTGCGGAAGGCATGAACGGATAAATTTTGATTAACGATTTATCATGTTTCAAAGTTAGCTTGTAAAATTTTATACAGTTTTGTTTTTTTGAAAAATCTGGCAAAGGCAAAAACTTAACACAGTTTCATAACCCACAAATGGAGGAGTACATTATTTTTATATCTGGGTAAAAAAAATTGACCATAAGCTAAAAATTACTTCGAAATTCGGTGCGTCGCAGTTTTCCTTACAGAAGCACCAACCATAAATCCATATTTACAATGTTTATTCCGACAGCTTTTACCCGAGCCGTGTTTTCAAGCTTCGCTTCGTTTTGTTTTCGTTGTATCAGTAGGAAATGAAGTGTGAATTCTTAGTTGCATGGTTTAGTAAAATAAAAACCCGTGCATGTTTGTTATTTCTAGAGCAAGATTTCCGTTCAATGCACTGTTATTATTATTACGTCGTCTGTCGAGCGACCTCTTGACACAACAAATTCTCTTTATCTAAGAAAATAACTTATTCGAAAATAAAAAATCGTACCACATTGTTGATTAATTAACGTCACTTTTTCACGTCAAAAGCTCGGCCATGGTCTGGGTCTCACGCACTCGCATGCACCATCGACCCAATTTTTCTTACGCTGTATTCAATATGACCGAAAACGTTTAATTTACTCGAACAAGCCCAGTCATGTCGAGTACAGCCGTACCCCGTAGCACTAGAGCATGTTTCTTCCAGTGTTGTGTTGCTAGTTTTTTTAATTCGATATTGAATATTTAGTGGTTCCAGGGTACTAAGAAAGTAAAGGCCCAAGGTATAGGAGTCCATTCGGCGGAAGAAATCAACGCTTTCGGGCAAGGCGATCTCAAAGTGCTCTCCGACATGTTAGCGGACAAACCCTTCTTTTTCGGCGATGAACCAACAAATGTGAGAGTTTTTTCTTGTGGTGGCGCGAATTCGACCGTCTGATCGATCGTTTGTGTTGCAGCTGGATGTAGTCGTATTCGCACAACTAGCACAAATTTACTTTATCGATAAAGAAGTTAGTTATGCACTGCGCGACTACATGACAGAGTCGTGTCCGAATCTGGTCGGTCTTGTCAATCGCATGAAGGAGAGATGTTTCCCGGACTGGGACGACATCTGCACCACGCTCGACCTCAACTCACACCTGCCCAAACCGGCTCCGGAGGAGGCGAAGGACAACAAAGAGACGATCAAGGACGAGAAGGAAGGGGACCAGGAGAAGGAGCCTGACGATAAAGATATAGAAAAAGAGAAGGTACGATTGTTTTAATGGAATTTTGTGGAGAATTAATGAGGGTTTCGCGTTTTGTTTCAGGCCGAAGACAAAGAAAAAGATAAGGGTAAAGAGAAAGAGACGGAAGAGAACAAAGAGAAAGAGACGAAATGAAGAGACTGAGTCTCCGAAAGCCACTGCCGAGGCAAGTATCCCTTTCCTTCCCCTTACTTAACCTTGGACCTTTCATTTATATCTCAACTACGTGCAACCATCTAGTTTTAAGATTCATCATAATGTAACACTTTTTAATGAATGAAATTATACTCTTGTCAACGATTAATTTATGTAGTTTTTTTTTATCTATTATAAAGGACAGTTTTATCAATAAATATATTCATTGCTAGTTAAGAATACTTGTTTGTATAAATAATTTTAGCTAGGTTTTTTATTGTAAGCAATTGTATGTCTGAAAAACTTTGGGAAGCATGACAGTCGCATAGACAAACTCGAACAGTGACGACGTGCCGTGCTTTCAAAAGTTTATCCATGTTAGTGCAGTCTTAATGTAAGAAGTATAACCCAATTAGTAGTGCATTTATTCATTGTATTCATTCCACATTTTAACATTGCATCACAAAATTAACATAGCTTGACAGTATCTATTGTAGATTTTTGTATTTTTTTAATGGATATTTTTTAAGATTACAACTAAGTAACAAAAAGCGAATAACGAAGATTTCTAAATTGTATATGGATTGCAGTGTATCTCTGATCGTGAAGCTCAATAGATTGACTAGCATGTTAAAAATATATTTTAGATTTTATTATAAGTTTATTTGATCTACAACTGTGTTGTATGCTATATTACGATTTAAATAAATAAATTGGTATTTTAAGTTGCCTATTGATGAGTATGAGTCGAACCAGCCAACTCCCAAAATAGAAACACTGTGGAGTCCTCCAATTAGGGACCCTGCGAAGATCCAGCCTCGTTGATGGAGCTGAAACGCCGACAGCGGGAACAGCACTCTTGCTCGAATGGGTTTATTAAATTAAGAAACAACTGACAGTCCTAATTGAAGTTTCCTTTTATGTATCTAACTCGGTCGCTTTGTGATGTGTATGGGAAGGCGCTAATACAATAACAAATTTATTGATTCAAGTGCTGCAACTTTAAACTCTAAATTACATCAGCAAGAAAAGGACAGAATAAGACCGACGAATTCATTATGTAAATCGTAAAGTCTGAAAGTGTTGGCGAGTTCCTTCGTTTGCATAAAACGGGGATAATTTGACGGCGTATTAGCATACACGAAGTGTAGTGAAGAGGTAAACGCGTTTTTACCACGTTTGGGTTAGTTACTCTTTATGGCAATCGTCTTTAAACTAAAATTGCTACTAGTTAAATATATTTTCAAAATATTTAAACTTATTGCCAAACTCAAAATTGTTTCACGGGAATGTCTAAAAGTTTTCTATTCTATAGCATGTTCAACAAGTACTGTTTAGTTGGTATCAATGACATCGGTTCAAGCATTTGAACAAATTGGTTACTACAACAAAAATCACTTTTTTTTTATTTACGTCACTTTTAGTAATGCTTACGTTAATATTCTTTATTTAATATGATGTACAAACTTGTGTTTGTTTCAGTAAATCTTAAACAGAAGTTAGAAAGAGAGTAACAAAACTAAAAAAAAAAAAATTTGAAAATTTGTCTGTGGTCTGACTTGCTAGTTTACGAATTCGCCTTTATTTAACATTTCACAATTTGACCTAGAAACTACAAACCCGAATACTCGAAAACCTTGGAAACTTTTTAAAATTATCGTAGGTATGGTATTGCTAATCAAAATTTATCTTTTTATCCTTTTTAAAAACTTGATGACGTCTCAAATTTTGCTGTATAATCGTTTTTAAAAATGTGCAAAATGTTATGTCTATGCTTGTGGTTCATCAGTGCGTTCATATTTTTGAGAATTGTTTATACAGGATGGCTCAAAAATATATACAGGTGAGTTATTAAGGGCGCGCTCCTCAATATCTCATTAGAAATAGAAAAACGTCTAAGACTAACTATACGGAGTGTTCTGTTTTTAAAGTGTAACACACAACTTAGTTTTTCAATTAGAATACCTGTATGTATATTTTTATATATTATAACTAATATTTAATTTTTTAAATTTTTTATTGCATTTTTTATGCCCTTGTTTGCAGCATTTTTTGGTCTCATTTTCTGTTCGCCTCTTTTATTGCGTTTTTTTGTTGCTTTTTGGCGTTTTTCGCTGTTTGTTTATCTTTTTGTCCACTTTTGCCGAATTTTTTGCCTTTTTTTTATCGCGTTTTTTGTAGCATTTTGCCTGTTGCCTCCACTTTTGTTTTTTGTCCCCCTTTTTTGGCTTGTTTTTTGCATTTTCCCGACTCTTCTTCTTTTTCGTTACGTTTTTTTGCTCAATTTTTTATCGTTATTTAGTGATTGTTTTAGTCACTTTCGTGGCCGTTTTTTGGTAAATGTTTCCCCCCTTTTGTATGTTTATATATTTTTTTAATAGAACACCCTGTATTTTATTATTGCATCTTATTCTGTTTTTTTTTTTTTTGTTTTCTATAATAAGATCCAGTACTAAAATGCAGAGTGTTCTATAATAAAAAAAATAAAAGATATCGATATTTGAAAATTGTAAAATTTATTTTTTATGAACACTTTGTATATGAAAATTGTATTTAATTAATACCGTAAGAAAACGTGTACTTCTGCTTACTTCTCCACAAAATATTGCAAAACAAATGTTTAAAATAACGTTATTATGATTTTTTTTTCTGGACCCTTGTATTGCTGAAAAGGTTCAAAAAATTGGAATAACGTGGCAACGTCGCGTCGGAATTTCAAAAATAATCTAGGAAACAAATCTTAGAAACAGGTAAACAAGATTATGTAAAAGTATATAAGAATATGTAAAACTATTAAAAAAAAACGAGTTGTGTACTCGAAGCCTGCGCACTTAGTTACTCATCCTGTATATAAATGAAGCTATGTACTTTATTGATTAAATCAAAAAACGGCTTACCTTACCTGCCCGAGTTGGCAATTCTGAATTATTGGGAGCAATGTTAACAAGTCGGTACACAGTTGTCAATTTTGGTATAAGCATGTTCAAAAACCAATGAAAAGATGGCAGCTATTAAACTGGCACCCAAAATTTCAATTTTACATCAGGTATGCGATCATAAAATTTTTAATTTGTTGCCAACCTTACAAAAAAAAAACACGTTATAGGTAGTTAAGAGAAAAAAAAAAATGTCAGAGGAATAAAAATTACTGCTTCCGTTAATACCGCGTGATCACATATGACTCTGTTGGCCTGGATTTTTAGTTGAAATCGGCATCACAATGTTTTCTATCGTTTTCGGTTGACCCGAAACATAACTTAAATTTATCCCAGGTCGCGATTGACACATCTGTCACAGAATTACCGCCGTTATACCAACATAAACGCAAGAAAAATTTACTTTTTTATTTAAAAATTACTGTCAACAGACGCAGTCATTCTTATCACGCGGTAGAATTAATTCTGCTATTAAAACTAGGTACAGCAGTATAAACATGTGTTTAAATAAATAAGATTTTTTTTTTAATTTCATTATCAGAATAAAAATTGTTTTATAAAAAAAAACTATAAGCTCAATCTGGGCACATACTGTTTATGTCCTTGTTAAAAAGCATTTTTTTTTGCGCAATTTAGCAAAGAAACTGGATTTGTTTGATTGCATGTACTTCAGAGGTGAGGGAAGTTCTACCTAAATAGATCAACAGTTTTCAACCTATTTATAATATAATTTAAAAAAACGCTGTTTTAACTTATTTGTACAGGGTGATCATAACTGTAAATAGTAAGTTTTCTCATGTTTTTTTTATAACCTCTTGAACATTTTAGCAATAACAAAGAAACTGTTGGAACAAACCGCAACAAATCTGCCATCAAGAGCTCGAAAATGTAAAAAATACAGGAACCTACGAAGAGTTCACGACTAAACTTTCTTCGAGTCCAGCACCTACCCTCTGGAAGTCCGGCGCTCGCCCCAACCCCATCCGAGTTCAACACTCCCATTGTTTACCTTCCGACCGTTGGCCAGCCGCCCATGCCGTCCCATGCCCACCTGTCGCCCCTCGCGTTCGCGCGAGCCCGGCCGACGGCCCCCGATCCGGCCCGCTCCCTCCGCGCTGTCGTTCGCGTTCCGCTCCGCGCCGCCTCCCGGCAGTCGGCTGTCCGCGTTGCCGTCAAAGCGTGTGCGAAGATGGCGGCGTTTCGCTACACGCATGCAGTGGTGTGCAGGATCCCGCTCTCGTTGCGCACAAGGGGCGAAATCGAGCTGGAGGAGGCGAAGAAGCAGCACGAGAACTACGTGCGGCTGCTGCGGGAGCTGGGCCTGGACGTGATCGAGCTGCCGCCGGACGAGGCTCTGCCGGAGTGCGTCTTCGTCGAAGACACGGCGGTGGTGTGCAACGGGACGGCGTTGATCACGCGGCCGGGGGCGGCGCACCGAGCCAAGGAGGTGAGAGCGGCTTCGGTGGCGGGCGACCGACCGTTGATCGGGGCCGGAGTAATTTGTTTTATTGAGCTATTTAATAAGTGGGTCAGTTGGCGATCGCGCGGCGTGGGGTCGATGCTTGGGGTTTGGGATCTTGGGCTTGGATTCGGTCGGGGCTGGAGGAAGTCGTTGTGGCTTATTACGGTAACAGTTAAAATGAGCGCTGGATGTGCATGTGAAGAGCGATTACGATCTGCGATTCTATTGTGGTGGGCAAATAAAGACATGGAAGTCGTGAATGGAGTCGTGATTGACGTGGTTATGTGATTTGGTGTTGTCGAGGGGTTAATTAAAATTTTCTAGCTTTGTCAAGCTGAAAGCAGGAAGTTCCCGCCAAAATTTTGTTCGAGCGGTCGGAATATTAACGAGGCGAATACAAGAAGGATTTGGAAAAATTCGCCTGGGTTGTTTTCAAAACTATTTTTGAACATACTCAGAACTTTATTTAGTGTACATTAAAATTTTATGGCGAAACCTATATACAAGGTACTGCACATAATAAATAATAAAGTAAAAACGATAATAATAATAATCAACTGGCACACTTTTGCCACTGTGACGTCAAACTGCCTGCACTGGTTCACGTATGAAATTTACTCCATTGCCTTGACGTCGCTCCAAATTGGTTTACTTAATCAAAAAATCCAAATCAAAAATTAAGTTTTGTTTGTTTAAATTTAAAGCGCCGATTTTCATTAAAATATTGAAATCGTAATTAGGATCCACTTAGCAAATTTTTGTGGTGACATCATCAAATTTTTGGTGGGGATGGATAGACAAATTTTGGGTGGCAATAACCTCAAAATACTTTGAGCAGGTTTGCCAATGTCTACTTCATTTAACAGATTTGTCAAATGATTATGTTTCTGACATATTTTTTAGCTTTACATTGAAAACAACATAATCTAACAAACAAAACTGATGGAATTTTGATTATTCTGTACCAACTAACAATAAACTTGCTAGATTTTGTTGACCAAGTCTACATCGAATGGATCGTGAAAGAATTTGTTTGTACCTCCGGACCGCATTTACTAGTTTTCGTATGTGTCCAAGGGCCAGAAACCAAAATCAAAATTGTCCTAGGGTTTTTTTGTGGTTATCGATGGCGGTTGGTATTATTGTTTGTCATTCTGTCACTGACAAGTTTTTCTAAATTTTGAACTAAAAAAACCCAATTTAAGGGAACCATTAAAATATGTACACCTTAGTTTAGGGATAAATAAAGTAAATGATGTGTGAAATTTAACCAAACACTGAGAAAAAAATGTTCGGGTCCAAGCCAAATTCGAAATCGCTGTTCTCGTATAAAAAACGGGAGAAAAACTCTTGTGTTTCATTCGCAAAAGCCTAGTTTCCGGCCTTGTGATACCAATAACTATTTTGTCCTATTTTTGTAGTCTTTACGGTATCTTTTGTGACCTTTTTGTCGCTTTTTTTCGACCTTTTTGTTTGTTGATTTTTGTATGCGTTATTTCGCAACATTTTGACAAGATTTTTTTTGCCTCTTTTTTGCCAATTTTTTTGTGTCCCTTCCGACAGTTTTTTATTGCATTTTTTACCTCCCTATACGGCGTTTTTTAATTGCTTTATTGTGGTTGTTTTCGCCACTTTTGTGGTCTTTTTTGTGTAGATTTTTCCCTTTTTTTTTGTTGTCTCTTTCGCATTTTCCCGCCTTTTTACTTCCCGAGCGCAAGCAAAGGAAGTATTGTAATCGAGTCCGTCGGCCGACTCTCTACTTTTACGTTTTCTCGATCTTTCATGACCCCTAGAAGACGAAGAAATAGGTCTCCTATTTCCGTCTGTCTGTCCGTCTGGCCGTCCGTCTGTCCGTCTGTCCGTCCGTCTGTCCGTCCGTCTGTCCGTCTGTCCGTCTGTTGTCCCGGATTTTTATTAGACAGATAATCTCCGAAAGTACTCGACCGATTGTTGTGAAATTTTGTACTTATATTAAGAATATCATGTAGATGGTAAAACGCTAACCAAAATTTGTCTAATCATCCCCACCACTAATGCGATGACGTCACTTCAAAATTGTACATAGTAAATGGGTTTTCAATTGTATAAAATAACATAGTCCTACACATGTAGTTTACAACTCTGAATCGACTTTTCACCCGAAACGTCCAGATTTTTGGAAAAAAAATCAAAATTATAAAACAACATTTTGAAATTTAATTTTTAATCTGCTAACCAGAATGCTTTGAAATAGATGTTTTAAGGCTATAAAGAGCATCATAAATCTTTAGTCAAAAAATATTTGCTTATCCCCTCCAAAAACTTGATGACGTCAGCTCAAAAGTTTGTGGAATAAATCATATCTAAAATGTACAAAATATGATGAGTCTGTACTTGTGATCTATCACTCCATTCATATTTTTTGGATTTGCATATACAGGGTGACAAAAAAATTAATGAATGCGTAAATATATTTTATTGATTTAATCAGGAACTACAAAACCGAATGCTCTGAAATCTTGCAGATGTTTTAAGGTCTTAAAGAGCATAATAAATGTTTAGTCAAAATATATTTGCTTATCCCCTCCAAAAACTTGATGACGTCAGCTCGAAAGTTTGCCGAATAAATCATATCTGAAATGTACAAAATATGATGAGTCTGTACTTGTCATTTATCACTCCATTCATATTTTTTTGGATTTGCATATACAGAGTGACTCAAAAAAATTAATGAATGCGTAAATATATTTTATTGATTTAATCAGGAACTACAAAACGGAATGCTCTGACATCTTGCAGATGTTTTAAGGTTATAAATAGCATAATAAATGTTTAGTCAAAATATATTTGCTTATCCCCTCCAAAAACTTGATGACGTCGGCTCGAAAATTTGCCGAATAAATCATATCTAAAATGTACAAAATATGATCAGTCTGTACTTGTGATCTATCACTCTATTCATATTTTTTGGATTTGCATATACAGGGTGACTCAAAAAAATTAATGAATGCGTAAATTTATTTTATTGATTTAATCAGGAACTACAAAACCGAATGCTTTGAAATCTTGCAGATGTTTTAAGGTTATAAAGAGCATAATAAATTTTTAGTCAAAATATATTTGGTTATCTTCTACAAAAAACTGATGACGTCAGCTCAAAAGTTTGCCGAATAAATCGTATCTAAAATGTACAAAATATGATGAGTCTGTACTTGTGATTTATCATTCCATTCATATTTTTGGATTTGCATATGCAGGGTGACTCAAAAAAATTAATGAAGGCGTGAATTTATTTTATCGATTTAATCAGGAATTACAAAACCGAATGCTTTGAAATCTTGGGAATATTTTAAAGTTATTATAAGCATGGTAAACTTTTGTTCAAAATGTATTTGTTCATCCCTCCTAAAAAAATTGATGACGTCACCCTTAAATTTTGCTGAATAAATCCTACCTAAAATGCAAAAAATATGATGAGTTTGTACTTGTGATTTATCATTCCATTCATATTTTTTAGATTTTCTTAAGAGGTGGTTCAAAAAAATTAATGAAATCAATTTATTTTATTGATTAAATTAAAGGCAACACTTATTATTAGTATTACACCCCAACCAACCCAATTTGGTAGACACAAAATTTGTTAAAGGAAAAACTCGGTTGAAACATAAGGGTAGCACGCTTATTTACATCGACTTTAACATTACAGACCTGCATTTGTTTTATTCGTTCACTTGGTTCCGCGAATGTGAAATAGACATGTTTATAATCAACCAATTGTGAATTTCACCGTCAAGAATTAAAATAAAACCCAATGTTTTATATAATAAGCGGAAGTCGAAGCAATAAAACCGATGGTCGTTTTGTTTACAGTTTCTTTGTTTGACTCTCACGTATGCTGTTACGCCTGTCATCTTAAATTAAGAATGTTTATACATACACGATTTTCAGTTGCCTCTGATACGTATACGTGAGTAAATTGTTTCGTTATTTTATTGATTATTACAAATCAATATTCAAAACGACCCAATTCATTTTCCCGAAAATTTGAGAATATAATAATTTTATTCTTAGTATTACACTACATCTATCCCAACTGATATACGTGTCCTTGCAAAAATGTTGATGACGTCATCGCAATTTTTTTTTAAATTCCCACTACAAAAATGTAATGAGAAAAAAACACAATAGGCATGCAGTCGTCAAGTTTCCGACAGCGAGGGAAGTACTGTCTAAACTCTTTAGACCAATTTTTTTTGTTGTCTCTTTCGCATTTTCCCGCCTTTTTTGCCTTTATTTTTGTTGCTTTTTTTCCTCCATTTTTTCTTCTTCCATGTTGTCAGCTGTCAACGATTAAATTTTAAATTAATTGTAGACATACTTCACTATATTTATCAAAAATCAAGGCCAACTGGATGACTTTTTCTGCTCAACACCTGATATCTATATATGTATATATCTTTATTTATATTGATAGGAGTTATCTTGGAGTTAAATTTTATAATTTATCTAAGATTCAAACAACCTTACATCAAATTTTATGAAAATATTCACATAATTCATCCTGCGGTTTGGTTGTCATGCTTTTCATCAGAAATTAATGACGCAACTACCATTCTCTACACGAAAATCGTTTTTTTTTTTTTTTAATAATTGGTGATTTGACATTCAGTTCTGGCAGCATTCCCTACTACGCCTTTTTTTGCACACGACAAACACTTTCCCTCCGAAAATTATAACAAGTGTTTTTTTTATTTTTAACAATCTTTTTATAGCGCCAGTGACAGAAAATATACAGAAATTAAGAAAAAAAGAGTGAGTCATGTAACAAGCGAGATATGCATAATGTTGTTATAACTCTTTATCCAAACACACTTTTTCTCTTCGAGTGAACGCAAATATTTACTTTATCTAAAAGTGCCACACCACCAAATTATGCGAAAATCATTGTTTTTTTCACTATGGACATTTAATCAAATCGAGCGCCAACTGAATATCTGTTTTTACCA